CCTCCTCCTCCTCCTCCTCACCACTTTCTGGGTCTCTTGCAGATTCACAGACAGTTCCCCATGGAGTTTGAGTTCAGTCAGTACTACCTGAAGTTTCTCAGCTACCACTATGTGTCCAACCGCTTCCGCACCTTCCTCCTGGATTCTGATTACGAGCGCCTGGAGCTGGGTAAAGTGGGTGGGAGCTGAGAGGGCGGCGGGAGTCCACCAGGACCGGCCAGCGCTGAACCGGCTTCTGCTTGCAGGTCTTCTCTATGAAGAGAAAGGGGATCGGAAGGGCCCCCAGGCCTACCGGTCCGTTTGGGACTATGTGGACCGGCTGAACAAGAGGATCCCCATCTTCTTCAATTACATGTATGCCCCTGAGGATGGGGAGGTGAGTGCCACTCGGTCAGCCAGTGGCGGCCCTGGGCAGGGCGTGGGCAGGGGGCCGGGCTGGATGGCGCGTCAACTGCTGCCTGTCTTGCGTTCAGGTACTGCGTCCATATAGCAACATTTCCAGTCTGAAGGTGTGGGACTACTACACCCACGAGGCTCTCGCGGAGGGGCCGTCCTATGACTGGGAGCTGGTGCAGGACCAGGGGGAGCTCGTTGAGGAGGCTGCCCAGCACGACTCCAGCACTCCCCAAAGCCATCGCAAGATTGTTTGGCCCTGTTACGACAGCTGCCGCCGGGTGGAGCCAGATGCCATCTCTCGGCTGCTGGAGGTGAGCGGCGGTGCTGGGTTTGTTTTGTGGGTGGGAGACGCTCGCGGAGTTATGGCCGGTCGTCATCCGGGCAGCATCCAGAGTTGGACAGAGCTCAAGCAGGACCGGGAAGCACCACATCACCCTGGTCGATTGGAGGAAAGCGCTTGAAGGTGTGCAGCTGGACTCCCAAGGGCTAGTGGGGCTCTGGGGCTCTCTCCCTCCACGGTCCCCTCCGCAGCCCCAGGGCGAGAGTGGCTGCTGCTCCTGTCACCACGCGGGGGGGGGGGGGGGATCCCACAAGTTCAAAAGGAGAGGGGGGGTTAATAACAACTCAAAATGTTCTTAAGTGGCCTCTGAGGCAAATGGCAAACTGGAGCATCAAACAGCCACCCCGAGCAAATGTATCTCCCACCTTTAAATTGGGGGCCTGACAGAATTCCCCCCCCCCCCCGGGCAACCCTAGGAGCTGCTCAGAGGGAGGAAGACGGTTAAGGAGGCCACAACTAAGCAGGCAAAGTGGGTTGCCTTTCATGTCCGCCACGAGATTTAGCACCTGGTGGTTTTCATGCAGCTTTTCAAAGGAAAACACCCGACTACAAAAAGGTTTTTTGTTTTGATCAGAAAAGGAAAAATGGAATTTGCTCAATTGAAGCAAATGTTCTACTGTGACTGACCACATTATTGAGATCCGTTTTGATAGTTTATTTAAAATTCAGCATAAACCTACACTTCAACTTTGGAAATCCTTAATACGTTGCCCACAACAAGAAAAAAGAAAATTACTTTTACTTTCTCCAATTAGTTGCGAGCAGAAATAGGTCAAGGATTTGGGTTTTGGGACCTCTGGTTCTAGGAGAGGTGACTTAGCAGGCAGCCTTGACCAGTTCTGTCCACCCCCATCCTGGTTCCAGGAGGTGCAGAGTCTGGAGATGGAGCTGGGCCAGGTGCCAGGACGCTGGAAGGAGACCTGGGACAAAGTGAAGACTTTCCAACAGTCGGAGGGCTCCACGCTGGACAGTAAAGTGAGCTGTGCCCACGGGGTGGGTCTGCATTTGCAAGCGGCTTTTAGCAGAATGTCCTCCTCCCGCTGACCGCCTGTCTCCCGTCTCAGGCAGCACCCAGTTCTCTCCTGATGGCATCCAGCCTGTCGCATCAGCGGCGCTCGCTCGGTGTCTACCTGCAGGAGGCGGGCAGCGGCAGCTCCACTTTAAACCTCAGTCTGGACAGTGAAACCAGCAGCTCGTCCACCCCCTCGAGTGGGAAGCAAGGTGGCCGTAAGAGCACCGGCACGCTTTACAGCCAGTTCCAGACAGCAGAGAGCGAGAACCGGTGCGGATGGGTGGCTTTTGAGAGTCTGGGTGGGCACAAGGCGGGAACGGAGCCCATCGACATCCTCCTCATCGAGATGCTTTTCCTCCACAGTTCTTACGAGGGCTCCCTCTACAAGAAAGGGGCCTTCATGAAGCCCTGGAAGCTGCGCTGGTTTGTCCTGGATAAAACCAAGCATCAGGTAGGGGAAGGTTGGTGGCCCTTTGGTGGGCAGGGGGCCCCTTCTGCCAGGCTGGTTAATTGGCACAGGTCTGACCTCTGGTCCTTCCTTCTCTCCTCTCCCCCTCCCTCCCTCCCTCCTTTCCTTCCTTCCTTATCTCTTTGACAGCCACCTGGACACGGAGTGCAAAGGGGTGATAGACCTGGCTGAGGTGGAGGCCATCACGCCAGGCACCCCCACCATGGGAGCCCCCAAGATGGTGGATGAAAAAGCTTTCTTTGATGTAAGTGGCCCTTGCACCTGACAGAGGGTGGCCCGTTTGGGCTCAAGGTGAAATGTGGCCGGGGAAGGGTACCCCCATGCCCGCTACCCCTCATTCTCAGGACTGGACTTTTCCTTCTTGGCAGGTCAAGACAATAAAGCGGGTTTACAATTTCTGCGCCCAGGATGTGCAGCTGGCCCAGCAGTGGATCGATCGTATCCAGAGCTGCTTGTCTGATGCCTGAGGTGCCACGTCTGGCCTGGCACAGCACAGAAGGAGGTGGGGGGGGGTGCTGCCCAGGAGGGAGACCCCAACCTGGCTTGGCCATGTGCAGTTTGCAGGGAAGGGCGCGGCCAGCCTCTTCCACCTTGTGAAGAGGAGTCTGTCACGCGTCCGGCCTGGCGGATCCTTGGGAGGGATTGGTCCATCTTCTGTTCTTCTCCTGAGGTTGGCAGGGCCATCGGACTTCCATGCCCCGGCTGCCTCCAGAGCAAGTGTGGCTGGCCAAGAATGGGCTCTGTTCTGTCGGGGAAGCTGGCCGAGGTTCTGGCTGCGAGGCAGAGGTGGCAAGAGATTGCTGCAAAGCATGATACCAATCCCTCCCCCCCCCCCCCCCCCCCCCCCCCAAGGAGCTGGAAGTCCTGATGTCTGGAGGTTGGAAGGCAGAAGGAAAGGGTGCGTTTGTCTGCACTCTGTCCCTTAATGCTGCTGCCGGTTCCTGGTCAAAGGCTCAGTCAGGTGGTGGGGAGACATTTGTTTGTGACACCGACACACACACGCATCGGTTCTTACTTCCCAGCCCTTGCTTTTCCCCCAGCATCCTCAGGGCTAGCCCTGGAGTGCAGGTCAGCTAATGGCCTCCGTTCCCCCCCCCCCAAGAGCAAATCATGTGACTTGGTCTCTCTGCTCCTGCACCCCCACCCCCCACCCCAATCCCAGGCTGCAGCCCTCTTCACTCTGTTCTCCTTTCGAACAGGAGACGGGAGAAGCCCTCGACCCCTCCTCAGTATGGAGCCCCCTCCCCCTCCTACTTTTTTATTGGTACCATAAAGGCTGTGGCTGGTGTGAATTTGGGGGTTTTGTAACTTCTTGAGCAGTTGTAGATTATTGAAGTTTCTGTACATTGTGTCAGACCTAAAGAGTTCTTGTATTGTATTGTGCTTAGAGGAAAAATATATATGAAGAGAAAAAAACTAATGGAATTTAATAAAAAAAAAACCCACACATCACGGGTTTGGCTAGATGTGACTTTCTGCCTCTCTGTGGGGTTTCTGTGGCCTTCCTGCCACAGATCAGTTTGGTCTGGAGGCTCTTTTAAGGTCCATTTCAGAGACCTCCCAAAGCAATGTCCTCTGAGCTGGGCGGGGGGGGTGGGTCCTTTGGAGGTGGGGGGTCCAGATCCGGGCAGCGGAAGAGATTTAAGTAATTGCAGGATGGCTGCTTCCTCCAGGCAACGTCCTGCACACCAAAGGATGGTTTTGTTCAAAATGCACAAAGGTTGATGGGATTTATTATATTAAAAGAATGAAGCTAAAAAATGAAATATTTTAAAAGATATATTAATTTGATAATGTATTTCAGTTTTCTTTTTCTGATGCATTAAAATACCTGTTCATACATTTCCTGGATTTGCAATTTACAATGAATGGCAATCTTCATCATCCGGGTGGACGATTTGCAGAAAGGAAGGCTTGTGCGACAGCAGTTGTGGCTCCGGATGGTCCAGTTCGGGACTGCTAAGCCAGCCCAGAGCATCTGCCTTCATGCACACCTCCCTGGCTGTGTGTCCGCCAGCAGGAAAGTGGTGCAGAATGAATTTGCTGGTATCTCTCTCAATGCCTGCCGCACCCAGTCATGCTGTCCGTCTGCTCTCTCAGGACATGGAGGCTGTTAAGGGGCCAGCACCAGAGGCTCCTCAGCCCAGCCCTAACAAGATTGGGTGGCTTTGGGTTCAGTAGAGCTGTGCCCAGAAATCAGCCACCTTTAATTCTCGACGGGGTTTTGCTTCCCCAGAGAGAATCGGTGCAGTTTTTGGGGTAGTCTTTCTGGATTCTTGCTAAAAGATCAAATGGTAGAGATTCCTCCCCACATGCCAGTTGTGCTCTTTCCTGGACTGGCAGACTGACCATCACTCATGCTTTCACCATTTCTTGTTGGATTGTTCTGATGTGCTCTGACCTTCAACACCACCTGATGCTACAGCAGCTGTTCCAGACGTCACGGAAAGTGTTATGAGCATATCTTGAAGCACTCGTGTGGCACCCTCTGTTTAGTGAGCTGCTTCTTCTAGGGTTACACTCAAGGTGATGCTCGTTACCTAAACGGCTTGGGGTTCTATTCTCTGTGGGTTTAACTGTTTTGAATTGCCCCTTCCTATGAGAAGAGCAGCCCCCACATGGATCCATTGCCTTGTTGTGGGGAAGGGGCTTGCGAAGCGCAATGAAACTATGAGCTATGCCCTGCAGGGCCACCCAAGGCAGACAGGTCATAGCAGAGAGCTCTGACAAGGTGTGATCCACTGGAAAAGGAAATGGCAACCCAGAACCTGTGCCATGAAAAATAGCAATAGCAATAGCAGTAGACTTATATACCGCTTCATAGGGCTTTCAGCCCTCTCTAAGCGGTTTACAGAGTCAGCATATCGCCCC